TGACCGAGAGGCCTTGTATTTAAACCTTGGCTACCTCATTTGTGAAGCAAGTGTGTAAGTAAATGATATAAGATCAATTATTAAGCCTAATTCAACACTATAGTTATTGATAATAAAAGGTTATTGATGAAGTGCATCATTCGAAAGAGAAGGACTAGGTAAATCATGAATAATTCCTTTGTATACATAGAGTATTATTTTTTTTATAGTTTCCACTACCAATGTATTAATTTACCAAGTTTTTAAAATATAATATTAAATCATGAATGATTAAAAAGTTAACAAAAACTATTTAATCATATGTATATTCTTAAATGAACACATCCTAAATAAATTTCTGACTACGTCACGTTGAATTCAACAAACTCAAGTGATTCCGACATATATGGATTTTTTTTTAAAATCAGTTCATTTAGATTGCAAAACGGGCTAGGCGCAGTTGGAAATAGGGCTAGCATTCCGATTTCTAATTAGCGGGTAACCGTCGGTTTTAACCAAAAACCACCAGTTACCAGCTAACCGAAAACCGACCAGTTATCTTGGCGGTCGGTGATCGGATGGGAAAAGGAAGGGGTCGGTTGACCGAGTAACCGATGGTGATTAACCGCAATTATCCGACTAACCGGCCCCAACTGAGACCCACTTAACCTTCCCCAAAATTCTGTCGATCATCTCCATTCTCACATCTTGAATCTAAAAAATTACTTCCCAAATCTAGGAAGAAGAAGAAGCAGTAGTAGTAATCCCTCTCTCAACAATGGCCTACGCGGCCTGCATTTCCTTTTTTTCACTCCTTTTCCTCTACACTCTCACCACCGCCATAGCCAACAAGCATACCTACATCGTCCTGCTCCACTCTCCTCCTCAAACCCTAAATGCCTTCGTCCACCTCGCCTCCGCCGCCGCGCCTCCGTCCACCTAACCTCTGCCGCCGCGTCGCCGTCCACCTCGCCTCTCTCTGCACCTCATTGTCCGCCTCCTTCCCATCGCGATCAGCGCCGTGTTGTCCCATAAGCCTTCTTCCCGTCGCGGAGCAGGCCACCAGCCCAGCAACAACATCATCTAGCGCCGTCCTCATCGTCAATCCAACAAACCATAGACTTCCCCGACGACGACCCAGGGCCTCCGCTCCGCCGTTCCCGTGCGTGACCCCCTGCTTCTCCTCCTCGAATCGCCAATCGCCCTGTCCCGACGTCCGCCTCACTCGCCGCCACTGTGCCTCTGCTTCTCCTCCATGGCTGTGGTGTCCATATCTGAAATGGAAGAAGGAAGGAGAGAGACAGAAGGAGTGGTGGTATGCCTGGTCGCCGGGGGGGGGGGGGGTTTGAATGGATAAAGGAAGGAGAGAGAAGGATGAAAGAGATAAGGAATAAGTTGTGGGAGGACTTTAGGGTTATTTTTAATAATTTTAATTAATTTTTTGGAGATTAGGGAGTGTTTTTTGGGTATGCGACTAGCCGAACCAAAATCGATAACCGACTGGTCGGTAGTCGGCTAACCGCAGTGTCCCTCACGGTCGGTGATCGGCAGCGGGAGGTGTGGTCGGCAGCGAGAGGTGGTGGCTTAGTTTAACCGATAACCGAGAAATCGATTTTTGGTTAAACCGAAACCGAATGACTGACACCCCTAACTGGAAATGATACAACCAAAAAGTTATAAGGGTTAGAAGATCCAAACAAAAAAGCCCAAAAAACAGTCTGCAACCCAATAAGGCTCATATCAACGACTAAAGCACTGTCAAAGTCCTACAAATCCTAGCCTCCTCTTGCCTCCCTCTAGGATCCTCCACCGCTGCGGTCGAACCTCAACCGCCACTTGATCGTGCATGCACTTTGACTCCCACCAGCCACCACCACAGCGATCGGGGATGAGGAAGGACACCTTCCAAGAAAACCACCTCTAAGCCAAATCACCATCTGTCTTCCGTCAAACCAACACAGGGGAAACCATCAAAGTGACCGGGGCGGCCAGCGAAGGACCATAGGGATGAAATCATCTACCTTTAACCTCTCTATACCATGTCATTGTAAAAGGCTTCGTTTCTGAATCACCAAGCTCTACAAACTACAAAGTGAAACAAGAAGGTAGAGAAAGGAAAGAAGAGGAGAAAACAAGCCAGATCCGTGAAAGATCTAGCCTCCATTTTGCATATAAGATCGGACACATCTCCATATCTGAAACAATAGATCGGAGGGCAATATTGGTCCGGTCCTTGATCCTAAATTTTTGTTTACTTTTGGAGCGTAGTTCTCAAGATTTTGGTATGATCATGTTTGAACCGAACCATTACACTCCCCTAGAATATTGTTCTAATATTTAGATATAAAAAGCGACATAAAAGCTAGCTTCTAAGTTTTTACTAGGCTTATAAATTTTTTTTTACTAGTATTGAGAGCTTTTATTATAAGGCTTGAAGTCTTTTGCTTAGCCTTTTGATACAATTTTTTTAACAAAATATACAAAACTTGAGGGGTAAAAACGTGTAAGCGTAGGTTTTTTTTTTGTGTAAAGCTTGCTTTTAACTACATTGCCACTATGTACCTTCCAACTCAGCATAATGTGGCTAATTAGCATTACTAACAGAATTGTTAACAAAAAATTTATGCTTTACTAATTATATATATTTATGTAAATTTGAAATATATTTTAAAATATGAAAATATTTGGATAATAGATTGTATTTAATCAATATAGAACTACACTACGCAGTAATTAAGGTTTGTCTATTAATTATAACACATGGAGACCAATAGGCTTATTCAACACCATATTTTTGGCTAATAAATGATATTTACCTAAACTCAAGTAGACCCATATATTATGGGAAGGGTATGAGTGACGATGTGACGTATATATGGGTTTGGAAGTTTGTAGATGAGTTTGGGTAGGGTATGTATATTTACTTTCATAATCAAAATGTGTATAAGTTGGGTATAGATATTCATTTATTCGAGAGTGTTTTAATTATATACATACAAAAATTAGAACTATTTGTAGAACTTCAAAAGTTCAGGTACTAAAATATAATACAAAAAAGGTACTAAAATGTAATGTTCCATCAATATTTTGAGGACTTATATACCAAAAAAATAAATTTAGTTTATAAATCTAAAGATCTATTAAGTTTAGGTACCCAACTATAATTAGCATAGTTGAGACTTAATTCCTTTTATGATGATGTATTTAAGATAATTATTTATTTTTCTATAGAAAATAGGAACCTATTTATTTGATATGTATAATTGTAAAAAATTCCATGTACAATTGTTCAAAATTCTAGCCCCGTTGAAAAAGAAAAACTCTAGAGAGAAGCAAAAGGAATAAAAACTGGAACTCGCTTAAAATTTCATGCCTTCAAATCCCATAGTGGAAAATTACGACTTTCTAATAAGTAATAACCATATGTATTTGTTTTTAATTGGACTCGACATTGAACTGAAAAAGTTAGTGATTCATTGTTCAATTATTAATTATCTAGACTGTTGGTCAGCCATGTATAGACCAGTTCATACTTGCGATTATGATACATACAAATAGTATACTAATTAGGGTTAGACGTGAAGAAGGCAAAGAAAGAAATAAATAAAGGGTTATGAAATGTGAGTGAAAAATCAAACAAAAAGGAAGTAGATGATGAAAAGGTATTGATAAATTCTTTTAAGCAACTTGAACAGAAAAATAAAACGACTCCTATTCTATCCAACCCGTATTTCAATTTGAGCGGAACTTAGTTTGCTAACCAATATAATGTGTAACTCGATTAATTAACATATCAATTGACACAACTCGAAAATCAACTAATCCTTAATCCGATCGGATCACTCACTCGATTGACTTATAATAAGAAAATTCACATGTAATCAATCAACCTAACCTTGCCCCAACCCAGGCCTTCTATTTGAGACCTTTCTCTAATTTACCACTCTTTTAGTGTTTACACATATGAATGACTAATTTTGAGCATGCTATTTTTTGGCCAAGCAGGATGCAAGAGAAGGTCCTCCAAACCGAGAAGTACGACACCCCTGAAGCCAGGAACAGAGGAGCAACAGCAACCAAAAGTCCAAAACCAATCAAAACCAACACTAAAATTAAATTTGGGATATCAAAAAAATGTGCACTATTATTACTAAATTGTAATTAATTAAATTTGAAGTATGAAAATGTAATATATAATTTAGGCAACAATAACTTCACTTCATCTTTATATAAATAATTAATAATAAGGGCATGAATGGGTGTGTACCAATTACCATACTTTACTTCCAAGTATTATGACTCGAGAGAGAGAAGAAGAAGATATCTATGATGAATACGACTGAGCTGAGGAGGTCCTCTTCCCTCTCAAGTCCAAAGCTGGCTCAGCAAACCACACACACACCAATTAATAACAAGAAAAATTGAGAAGAGAGAAGAATGCTATGTAGCTAGCTGCAGCAGATGATATATAGCCTAATGCAGACAGCAGCGGCAGCAGCAGGAGGGAAAAAGAGAAGGAAGGCTGGAGATGATGGCAGGAAACCTAGGTAGGTAGCTCCCTCCCTATTATAAACGTAGCTGTCTGTTTGAACAATGAACATATAAAGAAAAAACAAATAATCATGTGTCCAAAAATATGCCACTTCGCCATTAACCACTTGTTTATTTATGAATATTATATGCACATCTCTCTCTCTCTCTCTGCTTGAACAGATAGCCAAGGCAACTAGACTAGGCAAGCCAGGGTGTGTTTCCAAAATCCAAACTCCCTTTTTTCCAGAAACCCTCCCTCCCACCCGCCCCCTTTTTATTAATTTAATTTTCACTTTAAAAGCGCTTTTCAAAGTGTTTATCTACAACTGCTACAAACCTCCTTTTTTTTTTGTCCCTTTGTGACCCATATCATCTTCATCAGAGCCTTTGGTCTCTCTTCTTTTTTTGCCCCCGTCCCTCTTCTTCATACGTTACGTTTTTATTTATTTATTTGGGGCGTCCATTCCATTCTTTGATTGCTCCGGCGTATTAAAAATTGCATTTTGAAATGTCTTCTTCTTCTCCTCCTCCTCCTCTTCTTCCGCCTCTTCCCTCTTCATCGTCATCTTCCAGCCAGGGCAACGACGGCGGTGGAGACGAATACGAAGGGCCGTCGAGGTCCCGGCCACGTGGCGCCGTGAATGAAGTGTGGCCGGAGCCCTTCTTGGAAGCACTCGCTACCCACGTGGCCACGGACGCCGCTCTCTTTGCCGGACGCCTCGCCGCCGCCCAGGCCCTCGCCAATGTCTTTCAGGTGCGGTTTTTGTATTGCTTTTTTCCCCGGCCCCCATTTTCATGACTTGTGTTTTTGCTATTTATATTCTTCATCCGGTAGTATTACAGTTGCGGTTTCGTCTCAATGGTAAACAAGCCATTAATTAATTAATTAATTAATACTCTTGGTCTTGGAAGACACAACATCTGATATATTCAAATCTAGCTGTTATTTAGAGAAAATTATTATTCAATTTAGCCTTTCACTTATTAGGCAAGTGTATGGAGTATTAGCCTATTAGGTGTTAGTTTAAGCACTCTAGTAAATTACGATTACTCGCTTGATATATGTATTATTATGATGATCTTGAGATACGTGATTTACGGTTGGGGTGTTGTTAGTGTTGGTGAGATGGGGAAAAATATATTATTAATTAATTAATTAATCAATTAATTAATGTATAGTGGGCATGGGTGGTGGAGGAGCTGGCTTGAAAAGAGTGAAAGTGAAATGGACAAAATCTTGTTGGTCCAAGTCAAACTGAAGCTCTCTTGGTAACCTAGATTCTAAGATTCCCTCTTCTCGTGTTTTTTTGTTTTTGTTTGTTTCATTTTAATTATTGTTATTTATTTTCTCACTTACTAGAGTGGAAGAAATAGCATAGATTTTGTGTTGGGTCCATTTTGATTTTCACTTGGTATAAGGAAATCCCCTTGACCTAGAATTGGTGTCACTTTCAGATGATGTAGTTTTCAGGCAGTTGTAATGTTGGGGGCCAAGTTTAAGCTTTTAACTGCTTTGGATATGTCTATTCTTGGACCATTTTGTACATGGATCTTGGTTTGGGTTTGGGTTTGGGGGCAATGCTTCTTCTTCGAATGCTCTTTAAAGATAGGATTGAGTGGTCTCAGTGGGTTTTAAGATCTACTGTTGCATTGAAAAATTAAAGAAACCATATATATGGTTTAGTTAGCATGACATTGTACTAATTTTACGTGCATCCAATAAATTTTTACTTATTTAGATAATGAATTACATGAGTTAGAAACTTTAAACAATATATAATATGCTGATATTAGTTATATTTATTTTGAGGATACAGTTTAATAATTCCCTCTCTAATTAATCTCACTAATCAAGTAGGTCAACCCTAGCCTCTCCTAATTGCTAGTACATATGCTTTTTTCTCCAACAGGAATAAACTCTCTAGAATTGATCTCATCTTTCCAACTACTTAAATAATAATGCTTCATAATCTAAAACAACATGATTAGTAGGAAATCCTTTTTCTTCACTTCTAAGACTACGCCAACCCAATAAATATATTTGTTCACTCATATGAAAATGTTAAAAAAATGAATATATATTTTTTTTCTATTACAGGGCAATACATCCAAGATGCATTCTAGCCCCATAAATATAATATGTGATTTATTTAGACAAAGGCGCATGTGCAATGTGGAGAAAAAAGTTGTTATGGAGAGCAATGCTTGTATGTAGTGTAGAAGCAGAGATGTCACTTGTCATTTCAGAAGTTGTTTTCCATTTCTTTTCAGTTATCTTCTTTCTTTTCCCCCTTTTATCTTTGTCTATACATGAATGAGTCAATGAACCTATAGCTTACCCGAATAAAACAATTAATAATAAAAATAATACTTATAATTCAATAATGACTGCAACAAAACACTATACATATACATTCGCTTGTGGCCAAAATACAAACCCAAACCGACTCAATTAAGGACTACGTGTTAGAGAGTGGTATAAATCCACCATAACTTTCTCCCAACAACTCGAGTTATTGATAGCAACTGGTTTATGACATGGTACCAGAGCCTGGTTTGGGCAAGTGGTTGTGTGTTTGAATCTCCATGACTCCCAAATATTAACAGTTGATTAAAGCACAAGGTATGGTAGGCCTGTGCAAACTTGAAGCCCATGAGTTGGCTTTCTTTTGATGGGACGTGTTAGAGAGTGGTATAGATTCAACATAACCTCTTCTCCCAACAACTCGAATTATTGGGAGCAACTGGTTTATGACACTAAGTTACCTACGTTCTCTGCTTAATTCGTTTTGCTTAAACTTTCTAAGGCCGTTCTTGCTCTCGATCGACACTAGTTTGGAGTTTGAAATTGGGTGCAGCATGAGCATGGCTTTTTTTTTTTTTTTTTTTTGGTTGATAATGGGGGAGCATGGAGTTGGGCCATACCTTTTTTGGTGGTACTCTTGGCAAGGCGGAAGGGTTCTCTTCTCTTCCTCGGATGAAATGAAAAGGATGCGTACTGTAGGTTGTATGGTTAACAGGCAGCCAATGTTCTCATCAGCAACTGTGGTCCAACTGTAGCTTCTTCTGGAGGTGGTAGAGTAATTAGGTCATTTGACGAATATGGCAAAATCGAGGGGTATGCAAATGCAAATGCAATTGCGGGAGGGAGGGAGCTTTTCCAGGGTACGAGAAAGAAAGAAAGAAAGTAACAATATTAGGAAAGTACAGTTATGATGACTGAAAAGAGAAACTAGCTAAGCTAGTACCTTCAGTAAATAAAACAAGAGGAGGGACTGGGGGAGAAGTAACTACTAACCAGCAGGTTTGGTTTTGTCCAAAGACAACAGAAGAGAAGAGAGGTCTCTGAGAGATTCGATTCTGCTGATGAAACAAGTCAACAAGAATACAATACAACACACTTTTTCCCCCAACACCCCTTTCTTGGAAATGAAAGACAAGAGGAAGAGAAAAAAAAGAGACTATTACAAAATTAAAGTAGGCAACTTTTTTCTTCTTCTTTGCGGTTGCACGCTTGAAGAAAGATACAATTAGAAGCCAGCCTGCCTGCCTGCCTGCCTGCCGACCTATCTCTTTTCATGCTCCCCTTTCTCTCTGATAAGCCACAATAGTAAATTGACTGGAGTTGGACTACCAACTTGAAGTATTATTAATTGAATGGATCATTCAGTTTAGTTTTGTACATCTGGTTGGTTTACTGTTTCCACCGAAAAGAGTAAATTTCTAGATACTGTTTTCACATTTTCTCTTGTTTTTCACCCCAATCTGTCCCCCTTCTTTCTCTACGTTATTATGTTATACACAACAGTTTTCTTCCTGTCTACCAGATTTTTGGAGAATAGTCTAGTAACGTTTCACTATATGATTGCTCATGTCATACAATCTGGGTTCATTAAATTTGTCAGCTTCCCCGCCCCCTCTCTCTAATATGCATACTACTAGGCACTAGCTAGTGAAATAACTATTATTAATTTCTAGGCCATTTTGCACATTCTCTCCTTTCCTTTGTATAGATTTCTTTTTCCAAAATAAATTTTTTTTGGGGTTAATTAGTTGCAGTTTTTCCTTTATGTAGAAACTAAACAGAGTAGGCATTTCATATCCAGCTATACTAATACTATACTGCTCTCTGCATGTACTATCTTTGAGTTTCCTTTCCTCCATCCTTTTTCTTCCTACCCCATTTATTTAATATGAAACAAACAAACCTTCCATGGCTCCACTACTAGACTCCACATATCTCATTGTCAAAGTACAGTAAAAATTTTCCTTCCTTCCTTCCGCTCGGCCGCTACGTTGCATGCATGGACAAATTATTATTATTAATAATAATTCATATTTCTCCGTTTTTTTTGTTGGTTCCTTTTTCCCTCCCAGGTGTGCTCCACGTGGCAAGCAATTTCCCACTCGGACCTCCTCTGGCAGCGACTCACCCACCGGATATGGCACCGCCGCCACCTCCTCCACCGCACCTGGCGGCAAGAATACATGTACCGCCACCGAACCGCCCGAAACTTCCGGACCCGGCGATCCGTCCACTTCAACCTCCGGTTCGACGTGGAGGACCCCACCGACCCGAACGCCCTCTCCTGCCGCTGCCTGGCCATCTCCGACCACCACCTCGCCGCCGGCTTCGCGGACGGAGCCGTCCGGGTCTTCTCGCTCCGGACCCGGCTCCACTCCCGGACCTTCCGCCCGCTGTACCGCGACCGCCTGGGGCCCTTCTCCCGAGCGGTGTCGGGCATCGTCCTCCTGTCCGGGTCCGCCCGGCTGGTGTTCGCCACGCTGGACGGAGACATCCACGTGGCGAGCCTGAACTCGAACAACAACGTGGCGCCGCGGAGGGCGCGGGTGGGCGACGTGCTGAACGACGGGGCGCTGGTGGACTTCGGCGGGTGCGGGCAGTGGTGGGTGGGGCTGTACGCGGGCGTCCCCGGGCGGGCATTCCAGATATGGAACGGGCAGAGCGAGGAGCTGACCTTCGTGGGCGGGTCGCTGACCGACGCGCAGGCCGTGGCCGGGTGGCGCACGCTGACCGAGTCGACCGAGGCGGTGGGGCGGGTGAGGGTGAGCCGCGGGGGCGAGTCGGCGGTGGCGTGCACGGGGTCGCGGGTGATGGTGCTGGACCTGCGGAACCAAGGGGTGATTTTGGGGGAGGAGGAGTACGGGAGCGGGGTGGTGGTGGGGTGCACGGAGGTGTGGCGGGAGGCGTACCTTAGCGTCGACGGGAGGGGGGTGGCTAGCGTGCGCAGGGTGGGGGAGGAGGAGATGATATTGTGCGGGTTCGGAGTGGGAGGGGCGGCGGTGATGGGTTGCCTGAACGGAGGGTGCGCCGTGATTTGCGGCGGCGGCGGGGTGGTGAGGGTGTGGGGCATTGAGAGGAGGGAAGGGGAGTATCTCTATAGGTTCGGGGAGAGGGTTCAAGGGGAGATCAAGGCCATGGTGGCCGACGACAGGCACGTCGCGCTGGCTGCCGGAGACGGCGCCGGGATACATTTGTGGGATTTTGGCGCGCCGGAGGAGGAGGAGTAAGAGGTAAAGAAAGACGAGTAATACTAATTTAATGTATAATAATATAATATGGGTCGGAGGAATCAGAGATGTGAAGGTTGAAATTACAAGGGAGGGCGTGTGACGAGACGAGAGAGACGACGTGATGCGCTTTTTTTTTTGGGTGGAAATTGGCTAATAATTTTTAGGGTTCTACTCTACTCTACATGATTGGAAATTGGGGGGTTTTTTTTTTCTTTTCTTTTCGGGGATCAGCAATTCAATTCAAGAGGAGGGTATTTTTAAGTACTGATTGCTGTTGTACACTTGTAATTAATTTCTCTTCTTCCGCTTGCTTGGTTTTCGACTTTCGAGGAAGTTGAGTCTCACCCTCAAACCAATGCTATTGATTTTTGGGGAAGGGGGTCAATTTAATTTTTTTGATAGATGCACTACCTATCTTGTTTGACCTTTTTCCTATGTCACCAGCTGGAGAAGGAGAAGGAGAAGGAGAAGGAGAACTAGGCTAGGCTTCTTCCCATCTTGCTTTGGTTTGACGAGCTAGTCATCCTCATGTTCATTGCCACCATCTCAAATTCAAATGGTATCCCCAAGAATGGAAATTTTAAATTAGTATTTATTTCACTACTGCTAAAATAGCAACTTTAGTTACTGGCTTACTATTTTGTTTCACCTTTCTCATTTAAACCATTTTAGCTGCAGGGTAATCACTCTTATTAAGTCACTGTTTCAATTTTGATCAGTCAACTTTCGTCAAACTCCATTTATGCCATCAATGTTTTGATATTGTGGCTGACAAAAATGATGAATCACCCAAGTTTAACCCTAAAAATAAAAGCCCGGCCCATACTATATAAAAAGCCCGCCACAACAACCCATCAAATGACCCAAACTTGCAACCCAAACAAACCAATTGAACCAACCGACATAAAAAATACTCATTCCATTTAAAATAAAACTAAAAAAGAAGAAAAAAATATTGGCTATTTGCATATTCGTCCTTCCTTTTGTCGAGTTCTTTCCTCTTTTGTTCCTCACAATCAAAGTAACTCCGAATTGAAAAGAAAAAAGCCACAATGACAGAAAAGACTAAACAAGAAGCTACCTTTGATCCATTGTACAACATGAGTCATATTGCCCCATAGATAACACTACATGGAAGATGGGCTGTAGAGACAAATTATATTTGTATCTACAAGGCGTTTATTTTTCTATGTATCCCTTTTTTTTTTACCAAACCTGTAAACGAATATATTACTCGACTGAGCTGCTTACAGAGTCTGAACGAAGCTGTTCAGAAATACAATCAGGTGGTACGTCTAACCAAACCACACGTTCATTCCACTTTGTAACCTTGTGAGCCATCGCGTGCGCCGCTGCATTAGCCTCTCTACTAATATGCTTCCATCTTCCCGATCCAGTCCCACTCAGACCCCTGTGAATACTCCGGCATAGAACCCGCATCTCATTCTGCATCTCGTCAGCTCGGTTAAGGTTATGAACAAGAGCTAGACAGCCAGTCTCTAGTACCACGTTCGGTAGTTGAAATTGCATGGCTACCTGGACGCCCAGTTCCGCCGCCAGGGCCTCAGCTTCCTGTACTTCCCACTTTCCTGGAATGCTCTTCGTCGCCGCCAAGATATACTGTCCCATCAAGTCCCTGATTACCACTCCGAGCCCAACCCCAACATCATCCCAAATCCCTGCATCCGTGCAAACCGAGGTACAACCTGGTGAAGGTTTCACCCATTTCTTCTGAGTCGGAGCATAGCAATGCTCTTCTTGCAGCTTCTGATTCCGTTTGTAATCCTCGAACATGAGCTGGGCACGACCTAGTATCTGCTCCTCTGGTAGTTTTACTCCATTAAACAAATGAGCGTATCTTTCCTTCCAGAGATACCAAAGCAGCACACACCATCCCTCCAACTCTGCCTCCCCCCCTCGTTTCCAACAGCCTTGTAGCCCAATCAAGGAAATTTTCACTTCCTTTAGATTCAAAAATTCCCACAAAGCTAGTCTTCCTCCATATCCTCGAAGTCCAGGTGCACTCCAAGAAAAAGTGCTCTTGTGTCTCTCGTTGGTCACATAACGGACAGTTCTCTCCCTTTCTCGGATCCCGTTTACTGACCAGCACACATGTCGGAAGAATTTCCCTAACAATCCTCCACATGAAGTGGCGAATTTTTGGTGGGATACCCATACCCCGTACATTCTTCCACATTACCGTTGTACCCGTAGCTTCCACTCCTTCCCTCCTTTTAAATTCTTCCAACCACAATCTGTACCCCTCTTTAGCTGTGTATATTCCAGTTTTGTTGCTGTGCCACACCAGTCGATCTACTTCCTCTTGTCCTCTTAATGGAATCTTCAATATTGCCCTAGCCACTTCATGAGGGAAGCAGCTCTCTATAATCGTCTCATCCCAACTGCTTGTGTCCGGATCTATGAGCTCATTCACATAAGAATCAGGCGACAATCCCATAGGGGCCGACGGGATGAAAAGCTGCTTGAGGTCAGGGACCCAACGATCCCCCCAGATTTTAACTTCCGTCCCGTTCCCTATCCTCCAACGCAAACCTTGGTTCAGCAAATCTTGGGCACTGAGCAGGCTTTGCCAAACATAACTTGGCATGTACCCCAACGTAGCATCCAACAACGAACACCTCCTATGATATTTCGCTTTTAATATTCGGCCTATAAGAGAGTTTGGACTTTGCAGGAGGTTCCATAGTTGTTTTGCAAGTAGTGCAACATTAAAACCGCGCAGGTCTCGAAAACCCATTCCTCCCTCTTCCTTCTGACTAACCATCACCTCCCTGCGTACTCCATGTGCTCTCCTTTCCTGGGCTCTTTGTCCCCACCAGAAATTCATAATCATGCTATGCATCTCATCGATCGTTCCCTCCGGCACTTTGAATACTGACATGGCATAAGTAAGTTGAGCCTGGGCCACCGACTTAATTAGCACTTCCCGGGTCGCTATTGAGAGAGTCTTTTCTTTCCACCCATTCAGCTTTTTTCTTGCACGATCCTTTATCGCCTCAAACAACTCCTTCTTTGACCTGCCCGCTTCAGTAGCAAGGCCGAGATACTTGTTATGCTTCAGCATTATCTTCATTCCAAGCACCCCTCCAATATCCAGCTTCTTGTGTGGCAAGACATTTGAACTGAACGAGACTTCAGACTTTTCCAAACTAACAAGCTGGCCTGACTCCTTCTCATAATCCTTGAGTATCTTCTTTAACTCCACACTTTCTTCTATTGTAGACTTGGTGGAAAAAAATACAATCGTCAACAAAAAATAGGTGGGATACCACAGGAGCTCCACGGGCCGCTTGGATCCCATGAATACGCTTCTCCATAACTGCTTTCATTGTATACGATGAGAGACCCTCTGCACAGATCAGGAAGAGATATGGAGATAATGGGTCTCCCTGTCGCAATCCCCGACTTGGCTGGAAGCGGGATGATTGGTGGCCGTTCACCAGAACTGAGAAGGAGACCGTGCCAACACAAATCATGATCATCAGGATCCACCTCTCGTCAAAGCCCATTTTTTGCATGGCTCCCTCCAGGAAGTGCCACTCCACCCTGTCATACGCTTTGGCCATGTTCGTCTTCGCCGCTAAGAAAACTGTTCCCTTTATTCTTCATCGAATGGAATCACTCAAAAGCCGCCATAATATTATCTGAAATAAATCTCCATGCGATGAAAGCACTTTGTTCCATAGATATCACCTTATCCAACACTCTCTTCAGTCTACTTGCTAAGACTTTTGCCACCAACTTATATAGCACATTGCATAGACTAATGGGCTGGTACTCATTCGGGCTTGTTGGTTTCTTCATTTTCGGGATCAGAGCTAGTAAAGTATGATTCAGGTCCGGTGGCATTTCTGCATTCTCAATAATGTTCTTCACCGCCATGCAGACGTCGTCCCACACCGTGTCCTAGCATGCTCGAAAAAACGCAACCGAAATACCGTCCGGACCTGGCACCTTCCTTCTTCCCATTTGCTTTAGAGCCACCACCACCTCCTCCCTGTCCACTGCTCGCACAAGGACTTCGTTGTCCTCCGCAGTCACGGAACGTCTTATGGAGTCTAGGACTGGCGACTGAGGGGGCTTCTCACCTGCCGAAAATAGCATACCAAAATAGTGAGTGAAACAATCAAACAGCTGGTCAGTTCCAACGTACCACCTCCCTGCGCCATCCTTAAGTTTTCGAATGGAATTCCTCCTCCGACCGGCAGTAGCTTTACTATGGAACTAGTTTGTGTTCTTATCTCCACCCTTTAGCCAATCAGCTCGCGACCGTTGTTTCCAATAATTCTCCTCATCAGCTTCAAGGGTAGCCAGTTCCTCTTCTAGCTTCCATCTTTGCTCTTGAGTGTATGGTGTTACTTGAAGCTTCTCAATTTTTCTCAAGGCTTTCACTATCTTCCTCTTCTGCCTTCCAAAATTAGGAAAAGTACATGTACTCCACTTGTCCAGCACCTCACGACAATTCTCAATCTTTGCCATTACTCCCCCAGCCGTCGGTTCTGTCCAAGCCTCAACAACCACCTTTGCACTTTCTTCATGTTTTATCCAGAAAGGGTCAAAACGAAAGCTCCAACCCCATCTAGGTTCCTCATCCTCTTCTCCTTCCGTATCACAGATCACCGGTCTATGGTCCGATCTAGTTCTATCCATATGTTTAACCCGCAGCCTTGGACATTCCCTCATCAACTCTTCAGAGGCTACAAACCGGTCTAGACGTTCTTCGATATATCCCCCGAATCGTCTTCTATTCTCCCAGGTAAATTGGTACCCTTCGTAGCCCACGTCTCTAAGATTCGAGTCGAGCAAGCAATCGTGAAATGCCCGTATCTCGCTCTCGTCTCAGAGTTGGCCGCTTCTCTTCTCCTCTCCCGCAAGAATCTCATTAAAATCTCCTCCACACAACCATTGTCCATGCCATTGGCTCGCCCAAGTACGTAGCATGTTCCAAGTGTTCACCTTATCGCTCTTCTCCGGCC